GGAGGCTTCTTCTTAGTGTCACAGGTGTACTTCTTAGTGTCACAGGAGGCTTCTTCTTAGTGTCACAGGAGGCTTCTTCTTAGTGTCACAGGTGTACTTCTAGTGTCACAGGAGGCTTCTTCTTAGTGTCACAGGTGTACTTCTTAGTGTCACAGGAGGCTACTTCTTAGTGTCACAGGAGGCTTCTTCTTAGTGTCACAGGTGTACTTCTTAGTGTCACAGGTGTCATCCCACAACCGTAATGTGCCCGCAGATCCATCTGTTGATTATTTGGTCTCCATCCTAGGTATCAACAACCTTCCAGCACTTCCAGGTTCGCTTTTTGTGTGCGCTCGGCCAGTACGGTGGTATTTTCTACCAATTTAGGGCCATTTAGATCCCATTAATTTACAGTTTAGTCTTAATAGTGTTGTCGTAGCTTGGCTGACGCATACGTTTGGTGAGTGCGCGCGCAATCACCGACAGGGCACTGAAACTTCAGACAATAGTGATTTCGAGGGGGGAATCTTTCTGGGCAGGTTCTTGTTTATCACTAGTTTGCATATTCGGAGACTTATGTAGTGCATTGTGAGCTGAATGTCTCCGTTGGGATTTGCTGGGAGACAGTTTCTTGGTCTTAGATTGCGATTAACCTTCTAGATAGTCTCCCGGTGATGGGCAGCGAATAACTCGGAAAGGAGAAAAGCTATCCCAAAAAACAAGCCAATATGTCATAATTGCTACCATTTTTGATAAAAACACACACGCGCGCGCGGGCACGCACGCACACACACACACACACACACACACACACACACACACACACACCCACAACACCCACCACACACAACACACACACACACACCACCAAACCCCACACACACCACACACACACACACCACACACACACACACACACACCCACACACACACACACACACACACACACCACACACACACACACACACACACACACACACACACACACACACATATATATATATTATATATATATATATATATAATATATATATATATATATATACCTACGCGCGTGCGTGCGTGTGCGAGCGCGCGTGTGTTATGTGTGTGTGTGTGTGTGTGTGTGTGTTGTGTGTTGTTTGTGTGTGTGTGTGTGTGTGTGTGTGTATGCGTGTGTGTGTGGTGTGTGTGTGTATGTGTGTGCACCTCTATTCATTTATTATGTGTATATGTTCGTGCATGTCAGCAGCAGGTTTTTTCTAACGCACGACTCGATGAAGATGACAGCAAATCGGGCATTTGTTTGCTTCTTGCAAGGTTTTCTAGGCTGCTTGTAATCTTTCTACC